GAGAGTCGAACAGAAGTGATCTATTTCAGCGTACCTATGAGATGATCACCACTACTGTCAGGAGAAGTCGAGAGTCGAACAGAAGTGATGAGAAGGAAGCTAAGAAATGGAAAGGTGGCCCGCGCTGGGATATGCCCAGGCGCGGGCGAAATCGCTGGAGCGCTGAGGCAGTCGCGCGCGGCTAAGTCCCCACTGCAAGGGCGGGCTAGCGGCGCGCGCCCGAAAACCGCCGGCGCCGGCGCGCTGAGGCACTCGCGCGCGCCTAAGTCCCCACCACAGGGGCCAGGCTAGCAGGCGCGCGCAACGACCGAGGCGCCCCTGTCGAGCTGAGAGTGGACTCTTCACACCCCCCCCACGCGAATGCGAGGCAGATCCAAGCCGTGGGTGTCGAGTGCGAAGGCCTAGTGCGTAGCAGTGTGTCGAGAAAATCTTTGGGCCAAGAGCCTTTGTGAAGATGTCGGCCACCATGTTGCTGGTTCCCACATGCGAGAGTGAGATATCGCCCCGATTCACCATGTCCCGAACAAAGTGCTCGCGCAAGCGTATGTGTCGAGTGCCGGAGACGCGGACAGGGTCGTGGGCAACTGCGGCAGCGGCTTCATTGTCAGTAAAAATGTGAGCCGGTGCAACAGGTTGGACATGGAGCTCCTCGAGCAGCTGACTGAGGTAGATCCCTTCCTTGCCAGCATGCGAGAGGGCGAGGTATTCAGCGTCGGTGGTAGAATCGGCAACTCGAGATTGACGCTTGGACGACCAAGACACGGCGGATCCGGCAATGTAGAAGACGTAGCCCATAGTGGACACCGACGTATCGACGCAGGCCCCCCAGTTCGCGTCGGAGTAGCCAACCACGCCCGTGATGCGTGTCTCGCCGCAAGCATAAACCAGTTCGTCGCGATATGTGGCCCGGAGATAGCGGAGGATGTGCTTGACCGCGATCCAGTGACGACGTCCAGGGTTGTTGGCGAAGCGGGCCAGGTAGGACACGGCGAAGGCGATGTCGGGGCGGGTGCCGAGCGAAATGTAGAGGAGCGAGCCGATAGCCTGCAGATACCATGACCTGATCCGTTCGGTGCCTTGACCCGGGATGGCGGTGAGCGAAAGGCCGGGGGTCATCGGGACTGTAGTGCCGCGAGTCGTGGTGTCGAAGTGGAACCGAGCAAGCACGTCCATGATGTACCGTTCCTGGGACAGGGCAATAGAACCGTCTTCGAGTCGCCTGATCTGGATGCCGAGGATGTACTCTGCCGGGCCGAGGCGCTTGACGCCGTAGCGTTGTTCGAGGCCCGAGATGACACGTTCAATTTCGGCCAAGTCGGGGCTGATCATCAGGAGGTCGTCGACGTACAGCGCGATGTAGTGTGGGCGTCGCCGATCGTCGATCCGAGAGTACACGCAGTGGTCGGTGCCCGTCGCCGTATAGCCGAGATCTCGAAGCGATGCGTCGATGTGTCGATTCCAGATTCGGCCAGCCTGTTTGAGTCCGTAGATGGAGCGTCGCAGACGAAGCACCTTGTCGGTGGGAAGGTCGAAGCCGCGCGGTGTCGTCATCCAGATGTCATGGTCAAGGTCGCCATGCAGATAGGCTTTGTCGATGTCCGCCTGGTGCACGTGCAAGCCGTTGGCGGCCGCCAGCGCGAGGAGTGAGCGTATCGAGGAGAAGCGTGCGACTGGTGCGAAGGTTTCGTTGAAGTCGATGCCGTCGCGTTGCCGATTTCCCTGCGCCACGAGCCGTGCCTTGTGGCCGGTGACTTCGCCGAGTGCATTCCGTTTCGTTTTCCAGACGAACTTGGATGTGACGATGGTCGCACCCGCTGGTACCGTGGATCGGTCCTCGATGGTGAAGACCTTGAAGTCGTCGCGCATGGAATTGAACTCGTCGGTAGCGGCCTTGGCCCACACTTCGCGCTTGTCACTCGACATTGCCTCGCGCCATGTCTGTGGGTCGCTGGTGATGGACTTGACTGGTTGAATGGCTTCTGTGTCAGAGTTGTCGTCGTCGGTGGCGATGAAGGCGCGGTGGTGTTGGGTGAGGAAATCGATTTCGTCCGGCGATTCATCGCGCGAGTGGCGCCCAATGATGTCGAGTTCGTCGGGCGACTCCTCAGCCGATGCGGGCTCACGGTACGTGCTGAAGTCTGGGCGGTGCACGTCCGGTGGGCCGAGGCGAGTCGGGGTCTGTGAGCCGATGAGGTCCAGAGGGTCGGCGGAGTAGTCAGAGTCGGTCGGTAAGGCCGAGGGTGACGATGACGCAGCCAACGACGGTGACAGCGCAGGCGACGGTGACAAGGGAGTTGCGGGCGACGGTGACGAGGACGGCTCAGGAGACGGTGACGAGGACGATTCGGCATCTGTGGAATTAAGTAAGGTTCCGCCAGTGTACCCTGGGGCCACGTCAACGGCGCTCATGGCAGAGTCATCAAGAGAGGATGAGACGTCCATGTGCGCCGACCTTACTAGTGGGGTCCATGTCTTGACAACGGCTTGGGATTCGGTGGTCGGGCAAGCGCTGGCGAAGTGCGTGTCGGCGTCTTGCTCGGTGGAGTCGCTACGTAACCCGGGAAATTCGTTGTCGAGGAACCTGGCATTTCTGCCCAAACTGATCTTCTTGGTCGTCGTGTCGTAGAAACGGAAGGCTTTAGAAGCCAGGTCATAGCCGGTGAAGAGAACGCGAACCGCTTTCGGGTCGAGTTTCGAGCGAAGTTCAGGCGCGACTGTGAGCCAAGCCGTGCAGCCGAACGGGTGAAGCGCCGAGGCGTTGGTGCGGTCGCCCTGCCAGGCGAAGTTCGGTGTTGCCTTGTCCAGGGCCGAGTGTTCGCACAGGTTCTTGCAGTAGACGAAATAAGCTGCTGCCTCCTCCCAGAATGATTTGGGTAAGTGGGCGTCTGCAAGGAGGGCAAGGACACCTTCGACGATAGAACGATTGACTCGTTCGGCACGACCGTTCTGTTGAGGCGTTCGAGGGATAGAGTATTGTCGACGTGTGCCGCGTGCCTTACAGAATTCCGTGAACGCTTTCGAACAGTATTCGCCACCATTGTCGGTTCGGAGGACCTTCAGTTTTGCATCCGTCTCGAGTTCGACCTCGGCAAGCCATGTCTTGAACACGCCAAAGACTTCGCTTTTGTGTCCGATCGCGTATGCCCACAGTTTGCGCGAGAAGTCGTCAAGAAACGTGACCAGGTAACGCTTGCCAGTCAAGGACGACTCGGGAAAGGAAAGCACATCGCTGTGTACGAGGCCGAGTCTTCTGAGGAGTGCGAGTCCGAATCGGGAAAAGGAAGACGATGGCCCTTTGCACTGAGGCAAGCATTGCAGACAAACTTCTCTACCTCTTCGTCACTATATCCGGCCCCGAGACCTTCCAGCAAACCAGCGGCAACCATCTTCTGTATGGACGACGGTGCGAGATGGCCGAGGCAGCGGTGAAGGGTCAGCAGGGGCACGGAAGACTGTGAGCGAGAGAGGAGAGCGAGATGCTGACATTTGGAATGATCAGCGTCCAGCAAGTAGAGCCCTTCCTCGAGTCTTGCGCCTTCAGCGATAGCATTGCCGTTCTTGTCGATATGGATGCCGTGCTTCGTGAAGGCGACACGGACATCGTCGGTGTCGCAAAGTCGAGAGACCGAGAGGAGGTTGACAGACAGGCCCGGGGTGTGCAGCACGCCGGTAAGCGTGATCGGGTGACCGGAGGCGGCAACAAAGGCGATGTTTCCCGTTCCGACGGCGTTGATGCCCCCTGCAATACCACCAATCTTCGTAGGAGCGATGTGGCGATAGGCCGTGAACAGCGACTTGTCCGAGACCATGTGCGAAGTGGCACCCGAGTCGACGACGAAGGAGTTGTTGCGAAGCTGACGACGATGTGCGAGAAGACCGGTGGCGAGACATCCGACATGGTGTTGCGCATCAGAGGTGTCGGGCGTTTTCCCGTCCTCAAGAGCCTTTTTGCAGTCGAAAGACCAGTGGTCCTTTTTCTTGCAGGAGCGACACGGGCCTGGCGGTGGATGCTGGGCCCTTGTAGGGCATTGTGCGACGCGGTGAGAAGGGCTGCGACAGGCGAGGCACTTGGTACGGGTAGAACGTGGCGACGACGAGGCAAGGAGGGCCGATTGATCGTTGGAGAGGTTCGTTGACCGGAGTTGAACTCGCATACGGTCGGCCACTGAATCGATGTCAGGGAGAGTTCGTTGCGTGCGTTGTTCGTCGGTGAACGTTGCCTTGAAGCTCTCGAGTGACGGGTGGGCGATCGCGAGGAGGAGTGTGGCAAGGACGTCGTTGATCGTCGTTTTCGTATCGATGATCTCTTGCGCGACCGACTTGAAGTCCATGATCCAACTGTCAAATTCGCCAACCGTTCCGGGCATGGGTCGGAAGCCCCAGAGTCGCGAGAAGAGCTCGAGCGTGCGAGTGGCGTCATCAGGGGCGTATCGCGATTTCAGCGTCGAGTAAATCTTGGGCGCTGTGAGGTCGGCCGTAGGGATCTTGTCGAGGACTGCCGAGACTTCGGCCGAGTCGATTGAGTTTGCAAGGATCTCGCGTGCCACGACGTCGCGGGCGGAGCGTTGCGAAGGCGTCCAATCGTCGGGGGTGATTCCGTCGAGGACGTAGGAGCGGATGTCGTCCGCTAGGCACAGGCGAAGCTGGCGTGTCCAGTTCGCGAACGTCTTCGGCCCGTCCAACCGCGCATGCTTCGGGAAGGCATTGCGATTGGAGCCGGATGTCGTGGCGGGTGCGGTAGTGCCGGAAGCGGCAGCGGTGAGTCCCGACAGCAGCGATGTAAGTGCGGCAAGCTGTTCGGCGGGAATTGTCGGGTTGGCGCTCGTCGCGAGGGTTGACGACGTGTCCATGCCAGCGGTAGCTCGATGGGCTTATAACCTATGAGATGATCACCACTACTGTCAGGAGAAGTCGAGAGTCGAACAGAAGTGATCTATTTCAGCGTACCTATGAGATGATCACCACTACTGTCAGGAGAAGTCGAGAGTCGAACAGAAGTGATGAGAAGGAAGCTAAGAAATGGAAAGGTGGCCCGCGCTGGGATATGCCCAGGCGCGGGCGAAATCGCTGGAGCGCTGAGGCAGTCGCGCGCGGCTAAGTCCCCACTGCAAGGGCGGGCTAGCGGCGCGCGCCCGAAAACCGCCGGCGCCGGCGCGCTGAGGCACTCGCGCGCGCCTAAGTCCCCACCACAGGGGCCAGGCTAGCAGGCGCGCGCAACGACCGAGGCGCCCCTGTCGAGCTGAGAGTGGACTCTTCACAGGGAGTACCGATCAAACGCATTCACGGAGTTCTGCAAATCCAAGGGCATTCGTCGTCAATACTCTATCCCTTACACGCCTCAACAAAACGGTCGCGCCGAACGTGTCAACCTCTCCATCGTCGAGGGCGTCCTCGCTCTCCTTGCGGACGCCCGTCTGCCGGCCACCTTTTGGGATGAAGCGGCTGCGTATTTCGTTTATTGCAAAAACAGGTGCTCACACTCAGCTTTGGCCAAACAGACTCCAGAATCCGTTTGGAACGGCCAACGCACCACCGCCACCGCCCTCCACCCGTTCGGCTGCACAGCCTGGCTCACGGTCGCCCCGGACCTTCGCAGCAAGCTCGACCCCAAGGCCGCGCGCGTGATCTTCACAGGTTACGACCTCGCCTCCAAAGCTTTCCGTTTCTTTGACCATTCCATCAACAAGATTGTACTTGGTCGCAATGCCACCTTCCTCGACGACGACTTCCCCGGCCTGCCAGTCACCACGCCCGTCGATGCAGACGACACCGACCGTCAGTTCGTCGTTCCCGCCGACACGCCCGCCCCTGCCGTCAAGACGAGGACCCCACTAGTAAGGTCGGCGCACATGGACGTCTCATCCTCCCTTGATGATTCTGCCATGAGCGCCGTTGACGTGGCCCCAGGGTACACTGGCGGAACCTTACTTAATTCCACAGATACCGAATCGTCCTCGTCACCGTCTCCTGAGCCGTCCTCGTCACCGTCGCCCACAAACCCTTTGTCACCGTCGCCTGCGCTGTCACCGTCGTTGGCAGCGTCATCGTCACCCTCGGTCTCACCGACCGACTCTGACTACTCCGCCGACCCTCTGGACCTCATCGGCTCACAGACCCCGACTCGCCTTGGCCCACCGGACGTGCACCGCCCAGACTTCAGCACGTACCGTGAGCCCGCATCGGCTGAGGAGTCGCCCGACGAACTCGACATCATTGGGCGTCACTCGCGCGATGAATCGCCGGATGAAATCGATTTCCTCACCCAACAACACCGCGCCTTCATCGCCACAGACGACGACGACTGGCAGGCAACGTCCTCTTCAGAAGACGTTGACTACACGCGGAGGAGGGGATCAGGCCGAAGGAAGGTCGACTGGGCGGGGGCAGGCGACCGAGGGACAACCGAGGAGGGGACGCGGTTGTGAGGCTCGCAGCAAGTCAAGTATATCGGACTTTATTGCCAACGAGATCGAAAACGAAGGATGAAGGTGAAGGGATCTTGGGAGATGTAGCGGACCAGGCTGAGTGGGAAGGTGCTAAAAACAAAAGGGAGGCACTCAGGCGCAGAGGGGACTTAGCCAATTCAGCTACTCCAAGAGGTCGCCTCAGGGGGAAAAAGGATTGCTCGCGGGAGCACCGGTAAAAACCCTGAGGCCGCGCCTCAGCTAACAAAAAGAACAAAAACCGAGAGAAGATTGCGCTCTGCGCGCCTTGAACCCGCGACCATTAAGTGCGCGCCCGCGCGCCGAACGACTACGCCATCACGCCCACAATGCTTGAATGGAGGGAAGCATTTGGTGACCTCAACTCTACCTGCACATTACCTCAGGGACTTCCTTCGAGTGTTGCTGTCAGTGTATCGCTGTTTGCCTGACATTGTCCCCCCCAGAAGGAAGTCTACCGGGAGGACAGGCGGCGATTTGAGCGATCGAGTTGTGCCAGGTAGGCGTCGAGTAGGGATGGATGGTCGAAGCGGAGGGACTGCTCTGACATCCAAGTGTCATCGATGTCCTTACGGCCAATCCATCGAACCAAGAACGAACGATTGCCCCGAGCGTTCCGACGATCGCGAACAATCCGTTCCGGAATGGCGGAGTTGTCGGCCGCGTCGGCTACATCTTCAACAAAAAGAACTGCGGGGTCACGCCCAGGGAACCTCTCAGCATCGTTCTCAACATAGGGGCGAAGCAGTCGAGCATGGAAGCGACTGTGCACTCGCGACATTGCTGGGGGAAGCTCGAGGTCGTAACTGGACGTCGCTGGAATGGCCGCTCGGATACGGAAAGGACCAATGTAGCGCGGCAACAACTTCGACTTCATCCCTTCAGGAACTGCCAGGTTCTTGGTCGAAAGATAGACATAACTGCCGGTCCGAAAGGCGGGATCATCCGGGCGTCGATGCTTGTTGGCCTGGTGAGTCTGATCGAGGCGTGCACCAATGATCGCATCCGTGACGTCGAGATTCCGTAACTGTCGGATTCGGGCAAACGCTTCCGCACGCGGGACGTCCGAGACAGACCAGGAATCGGTGGGCCAGCGTCGAGGAAGGTAACCGTAAGTCGCCTCGAAAGCCGACAGAGACGTGGAAACAGCAACGGAAGAGTTAAGAGCGAACTCAGCTTCAACAAGACGAGATGCCCAAGCCTCGTGGTTTGACGACACCATGATGCGCAGGGTTTGGGTGACCATCTTGATTCGGTTCTCACTCGATCCGTCGGTCTCTGGGTGCGCCGCTGTTGACATCCGCAAGACGGTGCCGACCTTCGCCTGCAATGCTCGCCAAAACTGCGAGGTGAACTTGGGATCGCGATCGGAAACGATGGCGGAAGGCGTCCCATGCAGTCGAAAGATGGTGGCGTAGTACCTGTCGGCAACGAGCTCGGAGTCGGCGTCGGCTGGGAGGGGAATCAGGTGGACCATCTTGCCCCAAGTGTCAGTGACCACCATGATTTGAGCGACCATCATCCCTTCGAACTCGACCGGAGGCAGTCCCGTCATGAAGTCGATGGCCACTTGTTCCCATGGGCCAGAAGGGATCGGCATCGGATGCAGTCGGCCATAAGGGACTTGAGTGGACGCTTTGCCTCGGGCACAATCTTCGCATGAATGGCAGAACTTGGCGCAATCGGCAGACATGGACGACCACCAATACAAAGGACGTATGGCGGCCAAGGTGATGCGATGTCCCGCGTGCCCGACGCTCCGATGGATCTCCGAAAGCACGAGCTCGCGCAGCGATGGGAGCTTGTCGGAGTCGACAACGCCGGTAGCGAGACCGCGAGGCACAAACAGGGAAAGAGACTCATCTGGATGTACACGCAAGATCCTCCCTTCCTCGGTCACCCGAAACATCGGCCATGACAGCGGGTCGTCAACAATGACTTGGGCTTGCGAATCGTGGGCGTAGGCTCGGATGACGGCGTCGAGGAAAGGTTGCGGCAGCGGGTCGGGCGGTCGATGGACTACAGGGGCGTCGTTGACCTCATCGGCGGCGGCTCCCAGTAAGTCGAGTTCATCGGCGTCGGCATCGACTGGAATGGGCGCGTCGTTGGCGGGGGCCGCGGCGATAGCATGAACTCGATTGACGGCGATGGAGGAGAAAGGGGACCGGTAGAAGAGTCGACGGCGTCCATAATGTTCTCGGCCAGACGATGGGAACCGGGAGAGCCTGCGTCGTAGCCGTGATCCCAGGGCCCGAAGGCACAATCAACAGGGGGCAACCGATCGTGCGAAGGTGAGGTGTAAGGACGTTCCTCAGGGAGGCTCTCACCAGGTGTAGTGAACTCGTGGCATTCTTCCTTCAAGAACAAATTCCCTAAATCCCGTCCATTCACGTCCTCGTCTTGCGATTCGTCCTTGAGCGCGTAGTATCCGGGAGAGCCTGCCTCGCAATCGTCGCGTTGGGGCCCGAAGGCAAAATCAACAGGAGGCAACCGATCGGGAGATGGTGAGGTGTAAGGACGTTCCTCAGGGAGGCTCTCACCGTGTGTAGTGAATCCGTGGCGTTCTCCATCAAAGAACATATCCTCCAACTCATTCTCCTTGACCTGATCCTCGGGCGATCCCTCCTTGACTTCCCACAAGCGTGACAACGAATCGGCAAGGGAGTTGTTCTTGCCCGCAATGAATTCGAATTCGAAGTCGAAACGGCTGAGTTCGAGACACATGCGGATGTGCCGGGGTGTTTGGCGTAACTTCTGCGTTTTAATCGTGCGAAGGGCTTGGTGTCGGTGACGATGACGAAGGGGTAACCGATCAAGTGCTGCTCGAACGCCCGACACGCCGAAACGACGGCTAAGAACTCCTTATCAGTGACGTGATAATTGAGCTGAGGCCATTGAACTTAGCGGAGAAGAATCGCGTAGGAATGGCCTGCGAACGAGTGGGGCCCGAGGCCAGGCAAGCGCCAATGCCAACACGACTGGCATCGGTGAACAATAGATTTTGTGCTCGCCGGAGTGACCTTAGCGCCGTCGATCGGTCGCAGTGTTGCTGGCACGAGGGACTTGACGGTGTCGAAGGCCTGCTGCTCGCGCTCGTTCCAACGCCACGACGTCGATTGCGCTAATAATGCGGTGATGGGCTCCAAGGTGATCGAGAGGTGGGCAGGTGATCTCGCATCCAATTCACCGGTGCCGAGGAAACGCTGAACTCGGTCTTGTTGTGTGGAGTCCGGCCACTGTCGGATACGCTTCCCACTTGCCGGGTCGACCTCGATGCCGTCGTCGGAGATGATCGCGCCCAAGGAATCTAACGACTTTGAGAACCACTCGGATTTGTTGGATCCTAAGTA